AAAAAAAATGTTCTTTTAAAAATTCCTGAGTCAAGAACATGGACAAAATTGTGCCTGAAACTTGAACAGACTGAACTAAGTTGGTAAGATAAAAAATTCATGAAAAATCAGAAATTTTCAGCTGGTGGGAGATCACTTTAGCTTCATTAATCCACATTGCTGCGATGACCTACACCAGCTGAAAATCTGAACGCTCTTTTGTGTCATGCTATTTTTAAGCAGCTAAACTTCAGCATCGAGTGCAATTGTTCAATCCGATGACGTRGTCCTGAAAGACAAGTACAGTGCAAGTAAAGAACAGCAGTCACCAACATGCTCCAGTCACTCACTGAATCCTTTTGGTGTCCATCCATTCTTATTAGTGCTATTAAATTACTTCTACAGCTGTCCCTGAGGCTACAATGAAACACAGTAAACCTGACAAAAGTGGAAGCACTTCTGCTTTTAGCATTCCCTCGTGTTCAGATGCCTCGTGCCACCTGCGTTTTCTATTAGTCACCCTGGTGGCTTGTAATGTTACCATTCTGAGGGGAAGATGAAACCATGACATTTGTGTCATATGTTATCCAATATCTTCTTTGTTCGTGCACTCTACTCAAGAAAATGAGCTGCAATATCTTTTCCCATCAAAAAATTTCCTTTGTCTCTATGGTGAGAAAAAAAATCTTCGGCAACACCTAGAGCTACTCAGTCATACAAAACTAAGCTTTGAGGACAAAACTGGGTCTGTTGAATAGTTGCTGTCATCTCTCAGACACTTACCAGGGTGACAATGGCACATTCAGCAGTCAGCTGAGCAGCACTGAACAACGTCCGTACAAAGCGGTAGATCTGTTTCTGCTCTGGGTCATGTTTATCATARTCTGGTGGCACTTCGGTTTTCTAAAAAGAAATATTTCCATAGAGATGACTGAAACAACACAAGGCAGCAGACAGAAAGCMACTTTGGGTGGAAAGGAAGTAGCTGTAGGGGAACTTACCGAGAGGGGATGAAGGTTTTCATCAAAAATATCTAAGAGCATTCTTCCGTCTGTGTCCCTGCGAGGTAATACAAGCAACGCAGCGTCATTATTTGAACACAACAGTCTGCAGTCTTCACAAAAAACATACTGCTAACACTCAAATACCCCTTATGTGGGATGCTTAGAACCACCGCAGCAATGTAATCTTGGAACTACTGTGCCATGAAGTTCATTCCTAATATGAAATTCATATTATAAAGTACACTAAAATTTGCAGCTTGTGAWGCCCAGGAGGAATAGCTTTTCCTCGCCTTACTGTGTGGCTTTTAACATGCACTACTGTCATCTCCTAATATGACAGAATCTGCTCAGGGTAACTTGATTATGTTAATCCTTGCAAGCTCTTCATTTAACTAATTCYTCCTCCTTTATCGTCTATATTATGCAAGTTTACAAAAATGCAACAGTGCTTCATAGTTCTCCTTTAGTTAATACATATACGTTTCACTTTTTATTTCTTAAGGAAAGGTTTATCCTACTAGTGATTTCTGAAAGCAGTAAGGAGTATACACAAATTTAGACAATGTAATACCCCTCTCCATGGGTTTTGTTTGTTATTTCTTTTACTTATTGCTCCAGATCAGCTGGAAAGTTGATGCAGCTTTGCAAGCATAACATGCAGGAGGCAATTTAAGAAAGCTGCTGTATACAGTTTTGACAGGAATATTAACAATTATGAAAGCAAATGGTCAAACAGTACTAGTCAGAGCTAGACACTTTCTGATTACAATCCCATCTTTATTTTTGCATTCCTGCAACTCTGGTCATAGAGAGCCCATTGAGAGTTAACACAGAGACCACTGAATATGCTTTCCATCCTTACTCAACAGCACATGTCCTACAGAGCAAGCAGATATGAGTTTTATGGGGAATTAATGACCACAAAATGTACTTTTTAGTGTTAGTAGAGTTCAATCTCAATAGCTGAAGGTGAAATTTTTTCCTGCTTTAGAGCCTGCTAACACTGAAAATAAACACTCTCTTAAAAAGGAATGAGCAGCTAAATTAAAGGCAACAGCTGGAATGAGATAATTACTTCACAATAACCTGACATTCCTCATTAGCAGGGATTTTAGGCCAGACTCCTGTACTCTTGCAAAAAAAGGCCAGTTATCTTCCTCARAAGTAGTCTCACTGAAATCACCAATGTGTTCCAGTAAATTGTGATCCTTCACAACAAGAAAAGGAAAACAAAATCCATTTTATTTCTTCATACTGTAGTTGCTGCAAACCACAAAGGCACTCTTGCTAGTCCTTAAAAATCTGTAGCATGAAAAAGGAGGTGATAAGCTTTGTTCTTCCTCATTAAAACAAGTTCATACTGTTACCTTTTAAAATGAATCATCTACTAATCAGTTTTGCATTTTTATAGTTTGTGGATTTGTTTATGTGGATGTTATCCACAACTATCTATAGCTGGATGGATGTTATAGTTTGTGGATAGTTTATTTAATTAGTTAGTTAGTTATTGGTTCTGATCTGCTGTGTTTTTTAGCAAGGTCACCAATATTTGTATGTTCCTTTCGCACCAAGATAGGTGCAGTTGTTTGGCACTTGGTGAAAACCTAAGCACAAGAACGAGTCCAAAAAGTTAACCAATAAAACAATGTTAGGAGGCACCGAGTAAAATTAGGGAGAGCTAGAATGTTAAAATCAAAAAAAAAAAAAAAAAAAAAAAAAAAAAAAAGGAAGAAAAATGAAAAAATATTCCAGTTTCTGTGACATTTCTCTGGAAACTTACATATGGGACTGATAACAACTGGCAATACTAAAATGCAATTCAGTTTTGAGCGAAGTACGTAGGAGAAAAAGAATTGAGGGGATGCTGCTGTGTGAAAAGCCTTCTGCCCTAGCCGAGCAGGYGCTTGGCTCATTTCATGGCACCGCGATCAGACCTGAGCGTCCACAGGGGTTACACTGGTTTCTCACCCCCCGCCCCTTGAAGCACCAACACCCTCCTCCCGTCTGTCCTGGCGGGAAGCAGAACGGACGCTTTGCTCCTGCCGTTTCTGGGGCAGCCACTACCAAACGCTGCTACGGCGCCATGCCCAGCTCAGAGGCAGCTGAGCCAGCAGAGCCCTCTCGCATCCCTCGTTTCYGGGCCGCGGGAGCGCGGGGGAGCGGGCGGCAGCGCGCGGCAGAGGGCGCGTTCAGCACACGGCTGGCGCCGCCTCAGGGCCGCGCGCCGCGAACGAGGCCGCCATCCCACCCAGAACGGGACAGCGCGGACACCCGTCCTCCCCGAGCAGTACTCAGAACACACTTGTTTTCAAGGCACTGGCACAGAACCCTTCATTTTGTATAGACAGAACCGACTAGCTGCATGTCATATTTGCATCATACTCTGTGGGAGGACGAACGGGTCAGAAATCAGCTTCACAGCAATGTGAACTGACCGAGTCTGCCTTCCCTTGCATTTGGATGTCTCCTTGATTGCCTGTGAGCCCTTACTGAGGTTTCTCACCCTATGGGACCTCCCTCTCTGTAGAGGGAGCCTTTCACTCACTCAGCTGGGATGATACTTCTAGGGTGTTTGAGGATCTCTTATTTTCACAAAAAGATCAGATTTTAAAACAYGGTTATCTTTCTCATCTCTTATTAYTCAGTCAAGTATAGAAAAAATTCATAGACAAATTAACTCAGAGATGATGGGAGGAAAGTCAAGAAGGAACCACAGATGGATAAACAAGTAATGATCAATAACACCACATTTTCTAGAAGATGAAGCAAAAAAAAAAAGTTTTCAAAAAGATTCACTCTAACTTTTTCTTTACACGTTGCCATGTTTCAGTACAAGAATCACTGAAATCTTGGAAAATCTTATACAAACTTCAAGTCTGGGTCAGAGATTATGTCTTTTGGTTTTTGTGCACCACTAAAGGTCAACCTTATTTCAACAAGTGCTGTGGGCCCCAGTGACCTGAAACATGGTCCTAAAAGAYGTTCCAGCTTAACTTATGAGTAATTGCTTTTGTTCTAGTTGCACTTCTTACAGTCCAGGGGAAAAAAAATATACTAGTAGTGTTTAGATCGAGATCTAAAGAAGTTTCCTGAAAAGACACATTGAAAAGGTATGGGCACAAAAGTCACTTAGAGTGTATATACAAATCACAAATCTCTTCTTTGAAAATTCAGGAAGTATTATCTTACACGAATAGGAAATTAAAGAAACAAAAAGTCAGTTCAACAGCATCAAAGTGAATCCACGTACAAAGTCAATTTTCAGAGATCTCATTTTCTGTCTGATTTTAATCAACTTGACTGAGCAGAGTTGTGACAAAAGCATACTGCCCCAAAAGAGATAAGCCAGGACCTGTTCTGTAGACACCTTGAACTACATTTACTGAGAGTGTCATTCTTATGGTATAATTAATACATTTTATGTCAAAATACATAAACAGTAATTGATAATTGATTTACACAGACAACTGTACAAAGATARCCAAAAAAATAGATCTGACACTATTTAGATTTCTCTAAATGTAATCGCACCATATACTTAATGCAGAAACACCCAGAGCACATCAAACCAGATAATGAATCATCATATTTTTTTCAGTTAAAATGCTCTTCCAGCTTTTTCTTATAAATATATTTTATCCTTGAAAGAAAACAACRTATGGAAAAAAAACTATACAACAAATATTATAAAAGATAAATATTATGAAAGAAACAGAACACTTTTTTAGGTTTATGAGGGGTTGCTTGTTTCAATTAAAGTTATCTTCMGTACAAGATGTCATTATTCACATACCTGTTTTTGATGTGGTAATATATTGCAAGAGCTACACTGTAAAAAAAAAATAGAGAGTTAATATCTCAGGAAGGACTGTCATATTATGCATTAGAATTGATATATTAATGTTCAAATATAAAACCTAACACAGTTCTTGGCAAARAAATAAACAAAAAGAAGTATGCTTAATAGTCTGTTTTCTTCTGTTCAGTTGAGAGGATAACAGTAGAATTATTGAAGAACAGCTAACATTAAGAATATTTGTTACCAACCAATAACTTTTTGGTGTCTTTCTATGTAGTTACTACATATGAGATTCAAGTATCAGACTCCTACATCAACTTATTTTAAGTTGGGAAAGACAAACCCCTGAGAAACACATGGCACTATGCATTTTCCTTGTTCTCAACCAGGCACCCAGGTACCCAGGCCTGTTCATATTCTGCATAATGATGAAAAACTTCCTTATATTCACAGAAAGCAAATAATTTTCATTGTATATATGACTGAGTTTGAGACTTTATAAAATAAAGAGGTGTTTTTTCATGGTGATTTTCCAGTTACCAGTTGACTCCCAAAACTGGAGGATCTAACATCAAAGCATGCAGGAGAACCACCTCTCTTGCTACTCATTCTGACAGTCTAAAACCAGCCAAAACTAAACTGAACTGAAGAAGTAAATTCCCTGATCCTACTTGTTGCCAGATAGTTCTGTGAGTGATTCATTGTGAGATGCCAGTCCTGTGCTGTTGCAAAATGCCTCCTCCTTGCCTTTTTCCTGACATAAAAAGCCTTTTGAAAAAGTCAGTTGATATCTCTATATTTTTCTCTCAGAACTTTTATCTGAAAACTGTCATACTCTATGTTATCAAAAATGGTATGTTGGAGCTCCCTGTTAGTAGAATTATGAATTTAAGTAGTATTTTTATGATTTTAAGTAGTATTTTTAAAACAGCCATACAGTASAAATCACGTTTTTCTTAGCTGAAAGCAAATATTATTGGCACTACAGCTTCTAGCTTGATGGATTAGAATTTTGGGGACTGTATTTGCTTTTTAAATTTGAATTTTTCTGTAGATATATGCTCAAGAAATTAAAAGRTATTGTCAGCATTTAAAAGGGCACTCCTTACTGAACACAAAAAGCAGATCTGCGAAGGAAGAAAATCTACTCATAAAATACATTTGTCCTAAAATTTTATTTGAAGTGATGCCCCTAGAACATCCTTGCAGCTCTAGTGTAGTTTCTGCAAGCAATATATGCATACATGTGCACAGCCCTTGTAGCAAAATGTCATATTAAGTTTAGGAAAACATTTACCATTTCAAAATCTGTATGAGAATGTGAAGGGCTTTCAGAGTTTCAAGAGGTTAACCCAGATCCCAATTTTATTCTGCTTTTCATGTGCCAGCTCAGCCAGTATCCACACACCTGTAACGATGGTCAGGGAAGTCTCCCCTGAGCATCTCCATGATGCTGCTACCCCACCAACTCTCAGGTGCTTTAGGAGACACACTGCTGCTTTAAACACAGCAGGGCATGGCCCGAAAGAAATAAATGAGCCAGCCAAAACGCATCCTTCACAGACCTACATATGTGTGGCAGTCATTTATCTGCAGCAATGGCCAGAAGAAGGGCAGGAAATGGAGCGGTCTGCAGACGCCTGCTATCTCCATATGCTTAAATCTGCTCGATGTGCAGCTGGACTGGAGAGGATGTCACAGATTCACAGAATTCACACAGATTCACAGAATATTTAAGGTTGGAAGGGACCTCTACAGATCATCTAGTCCAACCTTCCTGCTCAAGCAGGCACACCTA